AGGAAGGAGGAAGAAAAAAGGAAGGAAGGAAAAAAGAAAGAAAGAAAAAAGAAAGAAAGGGAAGGAAGGAAGGTTAACCCTTGATCTAGCAAGCTATTACTGTACTTTTATTAGGACACACAGAGAAAGCTTTAAGAGAATATCCCCTTATTCTAAGTTATCAAACATTGCCTCGGACATGCACGGAACATGTGCCTAGCGTGCTGCAGAGCTTGGAATGAACATTACCATTGGCCCCAGGTATTTCCAGCATACAAAGTCCAGGCTCCATGGAGGTCTGTGCTTATTGTCCTTTAGAAATTACAAAAAGTTGTGGCATAAGAAGGACCTTTTGCGCCTGATGCTCTTCTTGGTGGACCTGAATTGTGGTGTGAGGCAGGGCTCTTTTAGTTAATGAGTTAATGCAGTATGTGGCTTTGTGGGATGAGTTGAAAGAGACTCTGTGGGGGCTTTCCCTTCCCACCTCCCTATCATACCCTGTCCAACAATATCTCCCCTAACAACTTATGTTGCTTGAAATCTTATCTCTCAAATTTATCCTTTTGGGTAGCAGAGGCCTTCTGATTTCTGAGAGTTTTATTTTAAAAAGCAAGCATTCCAGGGAGATAAGCTTCAGTAATATTTTGCCACAACTAAGGCTCACATTTTTAGAGCCTTTAAAGTATTTAAAGAAAGCTTTAAGTAGTGTAAGTTACCTCATTTTACAGATGAGAAAACTGAGGCTTAGCAATTGAAATGATGTACCCAGGCACACCCAGCTAATAAGTACGTAAGTCAGGATTCTAATTCAGTCAGTCAGTCAACAAGCACTTATTAAGGTCTTACTATGTGCAAGAAATGGAGGAAGCTAGGTGACTCAGTGGATAGAGTGCTATACCTAGAGTCAGGAAGACCTGAGTTCAAATCCAGCCACAGATACTTAATAGCTGTGTGACTCTGAGCAAGTCACTTAAAGTTTGTTTGCCTTAATCCACTGGAGAAGGAAATGAAAGAGAGGCAGAGCCAAGATGGAGGAGTAAAGTCAGGGACTCACCTGAGATTTCCCCCAAATCCCTCCAAGTATCTTTAAAAAATGACCCTAAACAAATTCTAGAGTAGCAGAACCCTCAAAAAGACAGAGTGAAACAAATTTCCTGCCCAAGACAACTTGGAAGGTCAGCAGGAAAGGTCTGTTGCACCAGGTTGAGAGAGGAGTTCAGTCCAGCGAAGACCATGTCAGCACAGACAGGGTCCCAGCAAACCTGGAGCAGGTCTTTGGTGACTGAGGCATCAGTGTCCGTTTACGGGTCTCTCAGCCCACAGCTTGACAGAAGGTCAACAGGAAGGATCTGTCCCACCTGGGTGAGGGTGGAGAACAGGCTGCACCAGCATAGACTCAGCCACAGAAAACCAAAAGCAGGCTTTGGGAGTGACTGAATCAGCATCAGCAGCACTAGTGGCAGCACCTGCTTCTGGAGCCCTTAATCCACAGATGGTAGGGGATTGAACAACTAGTCAGAAGGGCATTTCAGGGGTCTCTTTGCTAGCTCTAAGTCAAGACTCTGTTGCTTTGCCTATACTCGGATCCAGGTCGCAGTCCTGGGTGGCAGTCCTGGGGTGTGGAGGAGTACTAGCATAGCAAAGTTTATAGACACAGTTGACAGGGGGGCCTTCCTCACAGCTCCAGGGCAGAAAAGAGTGCTTGTGCTTACTCACAGACCAGAGCATAGGCCAGGAGAAGAGTAAACACCTCTCCTTAGATCATATCACCTTGGAAGAACTGAAAGCTTACAGATCCCTAGAAGGATCTCTGAAAATAGCTGCACAAAACCACTGGAGCTTGGGACAGTACAGCCTCCACCCTGGAAGCAGAGCCTTAGGAAATGAAAAACCATTTCAGTACCTTTGCCAAGAGAACCCCATGGACAGTATTGGTATACTTTGCTCCACGGGTTCATGAAGAGTCAGACACAACTAAACAACAAAAACAACAACAAACAAACAACAATATGTGTAAGACACTGTGCTAAACACTGGGAATACAAATATAAGCAGAAAGGATGACATTTCCTAACCTCAAGGAGCTTACATTCTAATTAGTGAAAGCAACACAAAAAAAGAAAGCTATGAAGCAGAAGGTACACACGTAGGGAGAACATCAAGAGAATTAAGAATGGAGCCTGGAAGGGAATGAAGACGTGGGTGACCTGAGCATCCTCCTCAAAATAGAAGTTTTGGGAGAAACTAGCAAATTAGACAGAGGACAATCCAAGGAAAAGGATATTTCCAAAGTGTGAAGTCTAGGCCTGGAGTGAGTTTCCAGGGTAAAGAGGTTCCTGTACCATTGTAGAAAAAGTCTAGAATGAAAGTTAAGAGTACAGCCTGGTGAGAAACAAAGACAAGGGTATCCTGGGCATCTTCCTTAAAATGGAGGTTCTCCTGAACTCAAGTCCATCTTAGCAGTTTTTAATTGATAACCAGTTGTATATAAGTTGGGTATATCTTATGCTTCCATTTCCAATTCACCCACTCTCTTTTCAACTCCTTACAATCTGGTTTCTTAAGAATCATTGAACTTAGAGCTAGAGACAACCTTAAAGGTCATCTAAAAACAGTTTTACAGATGAAGCTGTTGAGGCCTGGAAAGGTTAAATGACTTTTCCAAAAGTCATGAAAGATATCAATTTCACAGAATCATAGAATTTCAGGGTAGAAAGGGACCCCAGATTTTACCTAGTTCAAGCCATATTTCACCCCAAATCCTATTATCTAACTGAGAAGTAGTCACCTACTCTTTCTTTGGGAACTTCCAATGAGCAGGTAAGAGGAAAAGGATTCAACTCAGCTCTTCAAAATACAGATCCAGTATTGTTTCCACCATGCTGTTACATCTGCTACACTTCACTAAAATTGGAATGTCTACTGTTCTACCGCAACTGCTCTTTTAATGGTCACCAACTCCTTATCACCGACCATAGTAGTGTTTTTAAAGTTCTCATCCTACATTCTGGGCCATTGACAGTTACCTTGACTTACATCTTGCCACTGGATCCTGATGACTCTGGAGGAGAGTGAGGCTGATGACTTTGCACAGCTCTAGCCCACTGAAATCCAATTCACTTGCAAGTGAAGACATCACCCTCCTGATGTCATTGGTCCTCTTCCAGAACTAAGGCCAAACAACATCAACAATCATACATTATTTGTTACCTCTTAAATAATACTTCCTCTTCTTTACTCTTTACTCTCCTCATTCAACTACCTCTATAACCATTCCTTTGCTAGCTGATCAGTAGACAATGAAATAATAGAAGGTGTGTTAGAGTTGTGAAGGGAATTACGATTTTCATAATAATCAATATGATATATGTAATGAATATACAAATAATTCAGATTTCTCAGGAATTGCCTCTTCTAGCTTGTGAGTTAGACTTGCAATGCAGCTTAAAATTATCAATCAAATCCTTGACAATGCTGCATTCTTGTGCCAATGTACCTTATGTGAAATAAATCAAAGACTGCAGTACCTGCTGTTTCCTCATTCTCAGGTTAGAGATTGGCTCAGTAACATCCTGTTAACAGATTTCAAGCTAGAGGATCTAGGCTAGAATCCTGACTCTCTACTACTTATGGGCCCTTGGGTCACTCTTATCTCCTTCAGTCCTTAATTACTTCAGTTTTAAATTTTCAATGGAAGCATTTTAACCTCAGAAATTAGCAAATGCTACAAATCTGGACTTGATCTATTGTTTTGTTGATGACTTAGATTTAAGAAATTGATTAAAAATGTTAATAATGCAAATTGAACTTAAAAGTATATCCTGTGTGTATTTTTCCCCTGGAGATCTGGTTTTTAAATACCAGCACATCCCTGATTAGATGACCTCTGATTTCTAAATTTATGTTCTTATGTCTGGTCGTGTCAATCCTTGTCTCAAAAGCATTTAATGCCTGATGAATAATAAATCCTTTTGCTGGGATTCATAGCCCTTTACAATTAATCTTGAAAGTTACTTTCAAGATTAATTGTTCATTACTTTGTTTCATGTAATCTCTTTTCCAGCCAAATTGGACTATTCACCATCTCCTATACTTTCCTGCCACCATATTTTCATATTTTTATTCACACCACTCCTACGTCTAAAATTCCCTTCCCATCCCTTCTCTTTCTCTCTCTGTCTCTCTCTGTCTCTGTCTCTCTGTCTCTCTATCTCTATCTGTCTCTCTGTCTCACTCTCTGTCTCTCTGTCTCTCTCTCTCTCCCCCCTCAAAATTTAAGAGCTCTTTGAGGGCAGTGCCCATTTGTTTTTCTTCTTTGCATTCTCCATGGCACAATGTCTATAGTTAAATGCTCGATAAATTCTTGTCAAATAAAGATATTTTATTGTCCCATCCCCAAGTATCAAGATCTAGCAAGGTGACATACAGAACAAAAAATCAGCAGAATCAGAAGTCCTGGCTTCAAATCTTAGTTCTGCTATTTGCTGCCCATATATCTTGGGTACAAGTCACTTATGCTTTCTGGGCCACAGTTTACTCATTTGTAAAGGGGTTCAGAAGAGAATCTTTAAAGTCTCTTCTAGATCTAACTCCACAATCTTATGATTTTTACAGCTTTGTCTTCAGCCAGTGAAGATTTCAGGCCCAGTAATGGTGTGACTAGACCTTTCTTATAAGGAAATTATTTGACTTTCATAATTTTCATACAGTTAATCCAGACTATGTTTTACAATGAGTATAAAAATTTTAGGTTTCCTGTTGTTTGAATGTCATTAAATATACTTGATTACTATTCATTGTGAAATCCAGGACTTTCCAGCTAAGTTATTAGTGTTTTTCCATCCTGGTTGCTTAATTTAACCTCTTTGAGGCTCCGTTCTTCGTCTGTTCAAGGGATATAATAATAGTACCTTTTTCCAGTTCAAAGGATTTATAGCTGGAAGGAATCTAAGATGTTATTCAGTCCAAATCCCTCATTTTACAGATGTTACATGAGGAACAAATGATATAATAAGTGAAAAATACTTTGAAAAATTTAAAATACTGAATAAATTTTCATTGTTGCTGCAGTCATTGTTATAAGTTTGTTACATGCTTGTTTGTTTTTAATCTAAAGTGGCAGATATAAGGCTACCCTCTAATATCATTACCAAATCAATCCCTTCTTCAGAGGTCTAGTTTTTGAAGACTCCATTTTGATGCTGGGATTTCTTCTTTGTTTTTATGACCAGAACTTCCAGTCATACTTCTGCTCCAGAGTAATATTATTAGCTCCCCCACCCCCACCCTGTTACTATTCATTTAACTACATGGAATGACAACACGTAGACACATCCCTTGTAGAGATACTACTTGGTAAATACTTCTTCAGGTACTGCAAGTACCACCTCAGTAACCATAGCTATTGAAGACCCACAAAGAAAATTCTTACCACTAAAATCCTTGGTGCTAACAAATCATTGAGTATAAGAAACTGATATGGTTCTATTAATGGAAATTATATTAAAGAAGATGCCTCCTCATCTGCTTTGCTGTTATGTCCTAAGGAATGGGGGGCCTTTCCATCTGACTTGTAGTGGAACATTACTATATATGCTATCTCCCTCATTACAATGTGATCTCCTTAAAAAGCATCTTTTTAAAAATTTGTATTACCAGCACTTATCATAGCGCTTGGCATAGAGTAAGTGCTTAATAAGTGGGTTTCTCTTCCATTACATTAGAAATCCTAAAGGTGAACTTTATTTCTTCTGTTTTCTCCATTTGCATTTGGTCCACCTTAGCTCATTCAGTGCTGATGGATTGAGTTTCTTTCAGGCATTCTTTCTCTTAAGTCATCAAGCCTAACAGCAAAGCTATACGGCAATAAGCATTATTCCCATTCAATCTGCTGGTTATCTCCCTGGCTTCAGTGTCAGTGATCCTTTCTAGTCATTTAATGCCAAGAATGACTCAGGTAACAATGATGAAATTGTTCCAGAAAATATGCATGGCAGTCCAGGTTTTACAGTCAATTCTTTCTCTTGCTTGCCAGTGAAATCAAATGTTCTTCATATCTCATTCCTTTATTGACTTCACACTTATTTAGATATTGCCTTCTTTTGCTACTGTTGTAGTTACAGTAGGATTGTAAAAGAATGAAAACCAGTTCTCAAATATTTAATTATTAGATTGCTTTTATTCATACCTTCAGTGGAAAGTTGTTCAAGTGTATTTTTAATAATCTGGTATTATATATCAGATTTATTGAAGATGGAATGAAAATTGCCTCCAACCCCCAGGCATGATTTTTATTGATATTTTGAAGGGGGAGAAATAAGGAAGGAGAACAGCTGTTCTAAATAATAGTAATCATAATAGCCTTTTCAAAAATCAACCCATCTTCAATGCCATCGGTCAGAGGAAGAAAATGTTAAAGTAGAGACAACTGCCAGGGTGATATCCAGTGGGGAATTTCTGTACCTTAGGACTGGCAAAAGCTCTGAAACATTGGCAAATTGAGTTTAGGTGACACTGCTGATTAGGTTAGAACTCCAGTCAGTATGATCTACAAAGGATAGAAAGAGGAGAATAATATTGCAGGCTGGCCCTACTCAAAATTATTGTCAAGATCAGCTTGACACAGAAGACAGTGGATGAGTTGGCACCTCGCTGTGTTCTGGTATCACAAGAAGTCAAATTACCCTGGAACAATTTGAAAATATCTGTACCCCACACACTGGAAATTTTTCAGTAAAGATGCTAATAAGTGCAGATGACTAATAAGACAGGCAAACCACAAATGTAAATTAAATGAATTGAAAACATGAATACACTACTATGCATCATCAGTATTATATCAAAACAAAATTGAAAATCGATCTCACTATGTATAGGCGAGTGCCTTAGACTGCCTTTTGTAAATTGTACCCTCAGGATGAGGTCACACAATAATTCATTACTGACCAGTGAAAGGCAATCATTAAAAGAAATCACTAAGTCTAGATTAGAAAAAAGAAATAAAATTGAGGAACTACTAAAATCTGAAGAGAGAAATGTTGAAGATCCTCAGGTTATGGAAAATTTTCACCTAGTGTTCACTCCAGAGATTATACAGATGAAATGAAATAGATTACAGATTACAAAATGAAACAAATTATAATACCAGTACTGAACTCTCAAATTATTTTGATAAGGAAATAGGCAAACTTAGACTGGAATTCAAAAAGAACTAATGTAATATTCTCTTAATTGCTCTCTCTACTTCAGGTTTTTCTCCTCTTCAATCAATTCTCCACACAACTGTTGAGGTGATTTCCCTACAATTCACAACTGACCATGTCACTCCCCTACTTAACAAATTCTAATGCAAGAGTTCTTAGCATTTGTTGGTGTCTTGGACATCTCAGACGTTCTAGTGAAGCTTATAGATCCATCCTCAGAATATATTTTTACATCATAATTTTAGTGAAAATAAAGGTATATTTTCCATCCAAGTTCACAAACCCTATGAAATCTATTCAGGTACCCCTTGAGGGAGTCCATAGGCCCCAAGTTAAGAACCCCAACTCTAGTTGTTTTCTATTGACTCTAAAATGAAATATTTTTTCATCCTTTAATTTTTATTTCATATTTTCTATCTTTTTTATCTCAACGTTTAAAAGTTTTTGAATATGTCCAGAGACTGTTATGGTAGCTACGAAGGTCTGTCAGGAGCTCCGGATTACTAGCAAATTAGAATCTGGCAATCCATTGCCTTAGGTACCACCCTAGTCAGCATGAGACAACTACTCCTAAGAGTTGAAGAAATAAAGGGGTTAGCATAAGGTCTCAGGCTGTTCCTCCTCGAAACCATTGTGATTATCCACTTGGCAAAGAGAGGTTAGAAGAAGAGTTATTTTACGTGTTCTGGTGCCATAAGATAATTATATATACTGGAACAAATAAAAAATGCCAGTTCTTTATCTCCTGGAAATGCTTCTGAAAAGATGGTTTTGACCACTAGTAAAATACAAGTAATAACATGATGATAGCTAGCATTTATATAGTGTTCTAAGGTTTGTACACTACTTTACATATGTTATCACATTTTATCCTCACAAAATCCTAAGAGGTAGATGCTCTTATTATCACCATTTTACAGATGAGGAAGTTAAGACAAAGAGAGATTGAGTAACTTGCCAGGGTCACTAGCTAGTAAGTAAATATCTGAAGCAGAATTTGAGTTCAGGTCCTCTTACTCCAAGTCCAGCATTCTGCTCTATGCCAACTAGTTACTCACACATGAAACAGACTTAATACATAAATACTTTTGTTATATACTAGTACTATAGTATAGTAAAAGTGGGAACTGAACTCACCAGATATAAAAGAGAGATTTATGCTATTCTTTGCCAAAGACATATATAGTCATCAAAAATCCATACAAAAACAATGAAACCACAGGCCTTTTCACCCTAAGACAACTATAGAATGATTATTATCAATACTTCCTCACCAAAAAGGGAAAGAAAAGATTGTTGGAAATTTTCAGAACAAATGTGAAAGAAAATATGAAACTCCAACAAAAATATTTTTGAATGACTAGAAATCACTTCACCAAACAATAGTAAAAGCTAAAAATATCTATGTGTCATTAGGTGTATTTAATATAACCAAAAGTAGTTTATCTCCAGATCTAACATATGGCACAATTAAGAAATGGATGAAATCAAAGAACTCTCTATTGAGAGAGAGAGACAGAGAGAGGTGTAGATATATGGAAATATGGATAAGTCATAGACCTTGTTCTCAAGTACCTTATAGTCTAATACAATGGAAAGGCATGAATGCATAGAACTGTGATGTAAGAGAGATTGAGATAAATGCAAAGGAAAGATTCAATCAAAACACTTTAAGATTTTTTTAGGATAGAGTATTTACTTTCATTTAGGAAAAGATAGTACCTGAGTTAAGTCTTTAATGATTGACTTGCTCTCATGCTATATTATTAATATTTGGAATTATTTTTAAAAAAAGATCAATTTCTATCCTGTGTGTGCAGGTATGTGAATATGTTTGCAACCGACTGTGAGGGAATTAGATCACTATTTATAGGTTGTCCAGGACTATAGGAATAAATGAACCCACCCATCCTCCAGTGTGTCTTATTCTGTAGGGAACTGGGAAAACACAAAAGAGTTCAGGAGAGCAACAAAAGAAGGAGGAGATCTCGGCTGGAAATCAGTTTATTTTGTAATTCATAAAGGGATAAGTGTACTCTGGGGCCTAAAGTTTAACTTGAACCATTGCCTGGAACAGTTCCAGTTTAAATACATAAAGATTGAGTCCTTGGAAAATTCTGCCTGAACACATCTAAGGAGCTGCCTTTATTAGCCATCTTTGTTTAGCTTCCTATACATATACTAAGGTTATTTGTTGTTTCAATGGCCACTATTATACTCCATTTTGAAATTTTTAAGCTTTTCACTCCCCAAAGTAGACAGACACATGATCATAGTAGAAAGCATCCATTACTAAAAATGTATATTTTGGCTTTGAGAGTTAAGCCACACTTAATATCCCAGGTGGGAAACTGGGTACCCCAAAGTGATTCCTATCCTAAGCTCTATCTGGCTCCTCAAACACACCACTCCCTGTCTCAGTTAATTCTGTCTCTGCCTCCTGGTCCCCTTCATTAAAAAGAAGGCACTGTTCCTTCACTCCTGGAAGCCTTCCCTTTGCAATTTTGATTTGGGGCTTTGATGAGAATAATATTTGGTTTGTTATGTGAGTCTAAGTCCTTTGCTGTCCATATCATGTGAAAATTTCTGCTCATGAGGACTCCAACTCCTAAAGTGTACTGGAAAGGGTTTTTTGTATGTTTGGTTGTTTTGAATTGGAACTGGGATTGGGAACTCTCAATGAAGAAATTCAATGCAGATTAGCACCTACTCCACAGTTTAGTCTTAGACAGTTGTCTGGGGCATTCTGAGGTTAAGTGATCAGTGTCATTCAGCCAATCCTGTGAAAGGTGGGGTTTGATCCTAGGTCTTCTTGACTTCAAAGTCAGCTCTCTCTCTACTAGACCATGTCTCTCACAAGAAAGGATGGACAGGACAGATTGGGAATGAGATTTGCCAGAGATGTTCAAGGAACCTGATCCAAAACATACCTGACATTGTATCCTGGGTTCAGATTCCATGCACCCACCAGTACCTTTTGATAAATGAAATCTTTGGTGGTTTTCTGATATTTAGGGATTACTTCCCCCCTCAAAAAGTAGCCTAATGAAGACATCTTTCAAAGAACCAACCCACAGAGACATGTGCCGCTAGGTGACTCAGGGGATAGAGTGCCAGGCCTGGAGACAAGAGAACAGAGTTCAAATCAAATCTCAACATTTACTGGCTGTTTTACCATGAGCAAATCACTTAACCTCTGTCTCCCTCAGTTTCCTCAACTATAAAATGGAGATAATAATGGCATTTACTTCTCAGGATTGTCTTGAGGATAAAATGACATAATATATGGAAAGCACTTAGTACAGTGCCTGGTAGATAGTAGATGCTATATAAATGTTAGTTGTTATTGTTGTTGTCACTGTTCTTGCTCTTGTTATACGGTGTCAGCTAAGTTTCAAAGAATTTTGCAATTATCATCATCTTCAAAATGTATTTATTAGACATCAAATTGTCTTGCCCCAGTACAAGACAAAGAGGCCACATAGTCAGTCTCCAATCTAGGACAGAGATTCTTTCTGTGGGGTCCCTAAACTTAAAAAAAAAGGATACCTATATTTAAATGTAATTAACTTCCTTTTCATTTCTGTGTATTTTATTTTATGCCTTTAAAATATTATTATGAGAAGGGATCCATGAGCTTCACCAAACTGACACAGGGGTCCGTGATCAAAAGGAAAAAAGAAGTAATAACCATGATTTAGGAGTTTGTCATCTATATGACAGATCCAGTGATACAGATAAAGGAATTCAAGACATACAAAATTGCTTGAATTTTTTTTCAGAAATTTTATCTTTCTCAAAAAGCTATTTCAAGGATATACACAGTTGAAATGGAAATATAGCCTTACTCCTTCCATATCAATCCACTCTTCTGAGTTTTACCTTTTTCTTAACTCCTCTTTCTTTTTCCTCCCTCCTCTATCTCATTACTCATTGGTATTAACTTTATGCTTCACTCTATTATCTCTAAGTTGTTAGCAATAATAATTCTGTCTACTAAATCTAAATTATTAGAAACTCTCAATCAAGGCTATTTGAGGCAGCCGAGTATAGCAGACAGAATGGTGTCTTTAGAGTCACAGAAGCACAAAATCCCAGAACTTGAAAGGATTTCAGAGGTCAACTAATCTAACCTAAACTTGAACCAAAATTCTCTTTGCAACCTACACAACAGCTGATAATTCAGCTTTTGCTTAAAGAACAAGAAAGAGGATGAACAAATAACCTCTGAAGGTAGTCAATTCCACACTTAGACAGTTCTCATTGTTAAGAGGTTTCTCCTTATTTTAAGTCTAAGTCTGCAACTTCTAATTGCTTCTACTTTTGTCCTTTTGGAGCCAAGCCCCAAGGAGATGGGCATGCAAAACCCTTATTTCACATGATATCTCAATTCATATGTTTTGGTTTTTTTTTGCAAGGCAACAGGGTGAAATGACTTGCCCAGGGTCACAAAGATGGTAAGTGTCAAGTGTCTGAGGCCAGATTTGAAGACAAGTCTTCCTGAATCCAGGGCTGGTGCTCTATCCACTGTGCCATCTAGCTTCCCCCATCTCAATTCATATTTGAAGATAGATATTATAACCTTACCTCTCTTTCCTAAGTCTTCTCTTCTCCAGGCTAAAAATCTTTAGTTCCTTAAGCCAGTCCTCACATTGAATGATTTCAAAGCCATCTTGGTCACCTTCCTCTGGATATTCTTCAGCTCATTAGTATCCTTCTTAAAAGTCAATGCCCATGGCTGAACACAATTCACCAAATGTGGTCTGAAAAAGGCAAGTTAAATGGGACTATTGTAGCCTTAATGTTGGACTCTGTGTGTCTGTAAAACAACCTAAAAATCACATGAAGCTTTTGACCTTCATATCATGGCTCTAGGTATTTTTTAGAACTGATGTCTAATTGTATCTCCTACATCATGTTTATACGAGATTGGTTTTCTAACCCAAATCTAAGACTTTTCCTCAGTTGTTGTTAAACTCCATCTTTTTAGATGTAATGTAAGAGACAACTTAAAAGCTGTTTGATTCCCTAGAAACATCCTTAATAGCATTGCGACACTTTATTTTTCTTCCTGATTCCTTAGATATAAAATGAAAGGATTGAATGAGTTCTCTGAGGTCTCTCCCAGCCTCTAATTCCTATGAGTCCTATGATCCTAAATGTTAAAATAAAAAGAGTAAATCAGTGTATAACTAGTTAACCAACATCAGATATATGTTGTACTAAATGCAATTTGGGGCAAAAGTAAAAACAAAATGTTAGGGTAGAAAGAAATAGGAGAGAACATCTGTGAGAATTCTGTCCCCAAGGAAGCTATCTGCTCTAAGCTGATCAATAAAGAAAAGCTTCCTGAAGGAGATGGGCTTTTAGCAATAGTTTAAATTGTAGATTTAAATTTAATTTAAATTTAAACTAAATGTAGATATTAAATTTACCCTTCCAAAGGGGTCTACAACACATACACACACACACACACACACACACACGCACACACACACACAAATTTAAATTTTTCTATATTAAGGAGAAGGACAAGGAACATCTTATCTTGCCCTCCTATCCTTCAACACATTTAGTTCCACAGTACAAAGGGCCAGTTTAGGAATACCTTCCTATAAGATTGGATTATGCTTGTTTTTAATATGTTTCCTTTGAGAGTAGTGGGAAGGGATTACCTGGAATGGAGATGGGTCTTTGATGGTGTTGGAGAATTCCAGCAAAGGAGATTTTAAAATTGTTCAGATGAAGGATGGCTGGGGCTGTTGAAGCTGAGTGATATGAAATAGCTGGATATAGAAGACAGAGAAAACCAAAGAAAAGTTGCATCATTTTATAAGATACATAAAATCTTAATGACAGGAATTTATGGGATTATAGGATTTCAAGATGAAAGGGAACTAGTCTGTAATTTAACACACAGAGAAATGGAATCCTAATGAAGTTCATTCTTCCAGTATCAGACATTAAGCCAATGCAAGAATTTAATCCGAGCCTCTAGTGCAATATTTTTCCAATATATTATCATATTGTTCAAATTTATAACTAATCATTAAAACTATAGGAACATAACTTACAGATGACCTTGGAAATCACATAATCCAACACTCCCTTTTTATAAATGAAGAAATTTCAACCCAGGGAGATTAAGGGACTCATTCAAGTGGCAGAGTAAGGATTTGAACTCAGGACCTTTGATTCCAAATCCAACACTCTTTTCCCTGAACCACACTACCTCTAATTTGATAAAGACAGAAAGGTTAAAAAAACACAATATAAGACATAATTTCCTTCCCAACTCTGAGTTTTATTTTCAATATTCTAATTTATCATTGGTTTTCATCACTGATGGCTTGACTCAGGCTATATCAGAAGAAATGAGGGATTATATAAAATCACTTTGTCACTTCCTCACTACAGGGGATTGTAAAGATTTTGATGTTCTACAGTTTGTAAAATTCAGTTTCAAAATCTGGGAAGCTGTGATAGATTTCTTGTTTTGTGTAATCTTTGGGCCATGTCAGAAAACATGAAATATAAGCCACTTTTTAAGCTATGTCAATATTAATGAAGATGATGGTTGATATTTTGCAGAGAATTAAGGTTTCAAACTCAGAGGGTGAGAAAATATAGATGTTTTGGCATATACAATGCTGAATTCGCAAAGTAATAGATCATTTCCCTACTCCATTTTTATTTGAGTCAATATTGCCTAATTATGTCTACATAGTAATATTGATGGATGTAAGGAAGTATGGGTATAGAGAGAGGAAAACTGAATGTGAAGTTGGAATACCTGAGTTCAAGTAGAGATAGCATCATTTATGAGCTTTTCAGACTTTGAGCTAGTCATTTCCCTTCACTGGACATCCATTTCTCCTTTTTTTATTATTATTAGGTGATCTCTATGGTCCCTTCGAGTTCTGTCTCTTGATTAAAACAAAAATAAAACCAGAGTCCCCAGTCCATTAGCATAATCAGGGAGGTAGGGAAGTTAAATTATGAAAGCAAGAAGCCAATTCCTGCTAACAGCCTTAATGTTGCATCAGGCTTCTGTACACTCTGGTGAAGCCTACCGGCAATCTGTAAGAACAGACAGAGTCCAAGCTTCCAGGAAAACGGTGATCCTATACAGTGGTTAGAACCCGAATGCACTGAAATGGCTGAAGAGTTAGGTGGAAAAAGTGGGGTGGGGACGCTCATAATGGCAAAACACCGCAGTTCAAAAGAGTATGGGTCCTTGGTTGCAGGGGTGTTGTGAGGTATAAGTAAGATAATGCAAATAAAGCACTTTGCAAAAATGTCAGTTTTCAGTAAGAGTATTAACAACAACAGCAGCAGCCTAGAGTCACCATGCCTCTAATCTGGTGATGACTTCATGCTCTGAGCCTTCTACTGCACTCCTGCTGAGCTGAAGCAATGTTTATAGAGCAATGCTGGGATATGCTGATAAATATTTTAAAATAGGCCTCTCTGTGAGGAAAAAAACGTATTCACACACACTTGTAAATTTAATCTGCATTATTAACATTTTCTTAATTAAGTCTAGACAAGAAACAAAACCATAAATTAATCCCTGATTTGCAGCAATTGCTGACTTCTGAGCAGCTGATTAGAGCTGACTCCAGCACCCCCCTGCCTGGTTGAATTTCCTAGTGTATCTATATTTGTATTTCCTTCTCTTAAGTGTGTAATTGGGGGAAAAAAATACCAATATCTTAGGTTGTCTGAAGTCTTGTATTTTGTAAAAGGACTAAATAATGATGGCCCTGAATCACAAGATCAGTACCAAATGAATCAATGACAACACCTTCTGAGGTCTTTCCTTGTTCTTTCAGGTATGTTTGATTTGTGATCTTGACTTTCTGCTAAACATCTTAAAAAAGAAGCATTTTTTAAAAGAGTTGCAGTAAGATGACTGAATTATTTAATCTCTCTGAGCCTCATGGTCCACGTCTGTAAAACTGAGATCATGATACCTGTTATACCTACCTCGCAGAATTGTTTGTCTCAAATAAGGTAAGATATGCAAAGAACTTTGCAAACATTAAAACATGTCATCTACTATTATATGTCCATCATCCCTTTATCACCTCAAACCAACTAGAGATGTGCCAAGTGATATAAAAGGACAAGAGCTACTTAAAGGTTTCATAAATCTCCCCACAGAAAAACCAGAAGAGAAACCAAGGAAATGAGTAAGCAAGGGAATACAATGAATACAATAATACAATGAAGAAATTCTATGACAGGAAACAATGGCAAGAAAACTCTCCCAGAGACAATTCGGCAATAAGGACAACTCCGTGTAGTCAATAGAAATCTGGCTTTTTAGTCAGGAAGACCAGAGCTCAAGTCACACCTCTAACATCTAAGATGTTTAACTGTGTGCCATTTCAATAACAGGCACTTCTAAGTTAAAGAACAGCTAGTGATATGTACTAATACAAGAAGGTAGTTAAGTGGTTCAGTGGATAGAGCACTGGCTTGGAGTAAGGAAGATCTGAGTTCAAACATGACCTCAGATACTTACCAGCTGTGTGACACTGGGCAAGTCACTTAACCCTGTTTGCCTCAGTTTCCTCATCTGTAAAATGAGCTGGAGAAGGAAATGGCAAAGCACTCTAGTTATCTTTGCCAAAAACAAACAAACAAACAAAAACCAAAACAAAACAAAACACAAATGGGGTCAAGAAAAGTCAAACATGCTGGAAAGGACTCAACAACAAAAACATTGATACAAGAAGTTTATTCATCAGGAGTTCCCTGTGTGAAGTAAAGTCCAGATTGGACAAAAACAAACAAACAAAAAACCCCCTTAAAGACCCTTATTTAGAACTCGAGAAAAGAGAATAGAATTTCCACGTGAACCCTGAATAGTTAGAAAATCGCAAATTGAAGGAACATATGAGACTTTAAGATTGAAAAGGAGAAATGATGACTCAGTTGAAAAACACTAACAAAGCAATATATATGCTTTAAAAATACTGGAAGAGACAGACTTTAAAAATATGATGATATAATTAGAATCATTAAAACAATGTTGAAAGATAGCAAGAATGATAGTACATGAGAGGTCTTTAAAATAAAAATAAACATTGACCTGCAAGACACGGCTTATGGAGATAATATAAGAATTCTAGACCATAAAAAAATAAACAAGACATATCCTTAAAGAAAAATTAAATAATGCTATCTTAAATAATGAATGGGTCAAGGGACAGATAATAGAAAAAAATAATTACATTAAAGAAAAGAAAATCATAACAATGAGAACACACACCAAAATTCACAGGATACAGCTAATGTAACTCTTAGAGAAAAAATGTATATCTATGAAAACTTATGTCAACAAAACAGATAAATAGAAGATGTATGACTTTGACATATAAATACACAAGTTAGAAAACCAAAAGATTAATTCCCAAACAAGCTCAAAAGCAGAAATTTGGAAATTCCATTGAAATTGAAACCAAACTATTTAGCTAGCTTTTTGAAAAGATCAAGAAAATTGATTATTAATTAATTTAATTTATAAAAGGAACAGGAAAACCAAATTACCAAGATAAAAGATGAGTACCCATCAAAATGAAAAGGAAATAAATTTATCGTAAACTATTTTATTCATTTTATGCCAAGAAACTTAAAACCTAAATGAAATGAATGTTTTATTTTTGAAAGATAAAGTATCTATATCAACCAAATAGGAAATAAGAATTTCAAAAAACCTGGTCCCAGAAAGAGAAATCCCAAAGAAAAAAATGTTATTTATCAAACATTCAAAAAACAAATAACACCTATGCTCCATAAACTGTTTGCAAAAATAGAGAGTGATGAAATCTTGGCAAACTCCATAAGGAAGACAGTGGTAATCCCAAAGCCCAAACCAGGGAGAAGATAAGCAAAGGAACAATTCTAAGACCAATAATATTACTAACGATTTTTACTTATTTGGATTCATAATTTTACTCACATAGGAAAATCTGGATGAGAAAATTCTCTTTACAAATGCTGTATGGCAGCTGTTCTGGAAATTATAGTAGCAGAAAGTTGCAAGTAGCACTCACTGAGAAGTCCAATGACTTGCCAAAGGTGAAAAGCAGGATTCAGACATTCCTAATGCTTAGATTTGCTCTCTACCCAATATACCACTCTATTTCTCATCATCAATAAATATTGATGTGGAAATATAAATAAAATATTAGCAAAGAGGAAAGAGGAAAAAACAATTTATTTTAAAAATTAACAACTATAGTCAAAAGAGATTTATAGGAATAATGCTAGGGTGATGCTTTATTAGGGCAACCCAAATCATAATTAACTATATTAAGGAAAAATAATTAATAAAAATATGTGGTTATATTGATAAATTCAGAAAAAAAAGTTTCATTAAAATAGACACTTCATTAATGTTAAAATGCTAGAAGGCATAGGAGTAAAAAGACATTTCCATAATATAAGCAGAAATACCCTCTAAACCCAAATCTATAATCATTTGGAATAGAGAATCACTGGGAAGCTTTCCCAACCCAAATCAGGGATAAGGAAGCATCATCACTATTTTCATGATAACCAAAAGATAAAAAAATGTCAGGGGATATAACGGGGCACAGAAAGGCGGCCTTTGTACTCCTACATTTCAAACTATGCCTTAAAACTAAAATTATCAAATCTATCTGCTATATTTTAAAAATAATTTTCATTTGTACAAAGGGACACTTAGATAACTGTGCATGTGTCTTCTAAAAAAATCTATGTAGTAGGAAATAAAAAATCAGAAAAGTGGATT